AGCCTGTAGCCGCTCGACAAAAATATGAAAATACCATAAAGTTACAACTGTTGAGACCATGGGAAAATAGAGTCAGATCTAGAATATTTTTCACGCCTTAACAATTACTCCAACCACCATTGCTATAGTAACTACCTAGCCATCACATCCCACTTATTGCCTATTCACCGGCTAAGAAGCACCAATATGAACAACCTGATACAAATTCTGGTGTATGATTGGGGCCATACAACTACTAACCCCCCAACAGAATACAGTTGTATATAAGGACCTGTTTGGTTGAAAAAGAAAAAACAAGAAACTTACATTATATGAGACCTTTCCCAAAGGAAACAATGATGATATTTTATTTAAGAGAGAGATTATTGAGTTGATGATCAATCCAAAAAAAACTTTATTTTCTTTTTTTATTTTTACTCTATTGTTATTAATTTAAATAATCATGATATTCAACCACGTGCATTGCACGTGCATCTCAACTAGTCATACTCCCTTTAAAAGCACGAGTTCGGAAAATCTTTTTTAGACAAATATACCCCTTTATAGTTTGAACTACCTTATCTATAATCAAATTCTAATTTTCAATGGTCAATATTACCCTTCACTATTTTGAATATTTTATTTATATCTTAATCTATCCTAATCATAATCATATCTTATCCTAATCCTATGTGAACCATGTTTAGCTTAACAATTTAAAAAAACTAATATTAATAAAATATATAAAACATAAAAATGATATTAGTTTGTTAAGATAAAGAAATTACAAGTAGATAACATATATAATATATGAAGTATTGCAAAAAAAACCATAAAAAGTTTTAAAATTGCAGAAAAGACCCTGAAAAGTTTAAAATTATAAAAATCATCCCAATGTCTCAAAACTTAAAATAAAAAACATGAAATTAAAAAATTAATATCAGTTTGCAAAGAATTTAAAATTTACAGGTAACACCTCAATATCTAAAAAATTATAGAAACACCCTCAAAAGTTTAAATTACAGACAAGCACATTAAAATTCTAAAATTTTTAAAACTTACAAACAACACAGATGAATTCAAGAGATTACCATGATACACCTAAAATTTTTGATATTTAAATTTAATTTTTTTTAATTAACACCCTCAATATCTCAAAAATTATAGAAACACCTTCAAAAGTTCAAATTATAAAAAACCACCCTAAAATTCTAAAATTTGTAAATAACATAAGATGAATTCAAGATATTACCCTTAGACACCTAAAAAATTAAAATTTGCCGAAATTAACCTCAAAATTTTTAAAAACCTCCTTAAAAATTTAAAAATTGTAAAAAAAACTCTAAATTTTCAAAAATTTCACATCAAATTCGTCGATTGGTAGACCGCTGAAATTTAATATTTTTCAAAATTAATCTATAGTTTTAATAATTGCGAAAGACACCCTCAAAATTTTAGAGTTACAAGAAATATACTAACATTTAAAAAATTACCACCAACACATGAAACATAAAATTTACAACTACCAACTTAAAAGTAATTTTTTTAAAAAACTCTTTCAAATTTGTAAAAATTACAAATCACACCCTCAAAGTTCAAAACCACAAAAATGGGCTAAAATTTTAAAACTTGGTAAAGAAAAGTGTAATTGTTTGGTATTTTTCATATATATATATATATATTTCTAATTTAGGGATTTACTATCCATTTTCAGCATCTAAGAATAGTCTAAGTTGATACTGGTAAACAAAAACAATAAGAATTGATTAAAAACATCCGGTTAATGGATAAAATTTTTAAAAATATTATAGATTAAAAATTATCGGCACTATATAAATTAAAGTAATTTCATATAATTTTAGTAATAAGTTGGGGTAGCCAAAATACATTCGTAACATTAATTGATAGATGTTTAAATCCATAGAAATGATAAAACACTATAATATTATACCTTAGCATTAATTGATTTTAATTTAGAAAATTTAAACTTCGACGTTAATAACATTTATAGGGTAAAAGAATACAAGGAATTACATATGGAGAAACTATTAGAATATTTAGGGACAACTTTAAAAGAATTGAGTTATTTCCATTATAAATGGGAAAGTGATGGAAATAAATCTAAAATTCAGAAAACATCAATGAATCACTTGAATTGGCATTAACATAAGACATATCTATTAATGAAGTACTGAATGAGTTACATTAAAAAATAATTTAATAACTTTATCCTAATCAAAGAAAAAATCTCCAGGGAAGAAATAAGAAAAATTAGTAAGTATTCATAAATTCCATACTGTGTTCTTCAAATTAAATATTAATATTATAATCTAAGAGAAATTGGTAATGAATAATGCAGGTATTTAGTTTAGATCTTTATGGAAAATGACAGGGATAGAGCAAAGGTAATATTATTGAAATAACAGAAATTCTTATTGGATGCACATCAGAAGAATTCATTTTAGAGGAAAATAAAGACATAGCTTCTAATTTATTTAAGTAATAAATTAGGAACACAAAGAATTTTATATATATGAAATTAATATTTATTCTCATTGAAATAGAAAAAAAATCAAAGTCTATATTTTGAGCAGTTTGTGTTGAACATCATAAGTACATTTGACTTCTTTGTAAAGTTAAATGAGATGATAAAAAATTAACGAGCCTAGGAAAGATAATAGCATAAAAAATACAAAATTAGCCTGATGTCACAATTGATGTAGATGATGAAGACAATACTCTAGAATTGTCCGAGAAATGATAAATGATAAACCTGAAGAAGGATTGATCTTAACTCAATAAAAAATAAAATAGAAGAAATAAAAACAATATTTTATGAATATTTTATAGAATAGTTTAATTATTTTGAGTGAAATTAGGAATCTTTAGAAGGGAGTTTCATGAATTTTTTTCAGTACTTTTATATTCTTATGTGGATGTTTTAAATAAAATAGAAGAAATAAAAAATAATATTTTTTAAATATTTTATAGAATAGTTTAATTATTTTGAGTGAAAATAGGAATCTTTAGAAGGGAGTTTCATGAATTTTTTTCAGTACTTTTATATTCTTATGTGGATGTTTTTAACATATAAAAATATATTAGAGTTAGCATTAATCTTTAATTTATATTTTTTTATAAAGTTTATCAATGATTAGGAATAAACTTTATATTCTCTTTTGCATGGTTTTAACATACTTTAAATCAATTATTTTGCCATATTGGTTTTAAATATTCACCTTCCTTGTATAATACTATTTTAATATTTTTCACTTTGCAATACTATACTTTCTCAAATAAAGCTTAGTTTAATATCGGTCAAAAATAATATGAAAATTTAAATTATTTTTAAATTATATTTGTTTTTTGTCAATTCAAATATCAACATGAAAATTTAAATTGGGTGTATCCCATTTAAACAAACATAAAAAAATAATTGGGATGTAAGAGTTTAAAGAAAAAAATGAGCACAAACTGCCAAAAATACTTAATCATGATATTAAATCACGTGCATTGCACGTGTGTAAAAACTAGTATATATATATATGTGTGTGTACACGAAGTTATTACGGAGAGTTACCCACGCTGAGCAATCATAAAACTTCGGACCAGTGCTGTGCTGCTCTAGAGAGATTCTATAAGTTCTAGCTACGTTCACTCCTTCACCGTAGGTTGGACTGTAACTGATCAACCCAATTTACAAGTACTTAGTTGGCAAGCAGAATGTACGCTGCTCAATGCCAGCAATGTTCTTTACAAACCCTGGCTTTCGTATTGGCGGTCAAACCCGCCAGGGGTTATCTCAAACCCCTTGCCCTTGAGAGTTCCGAACTCCATAGGAAACTAGAGTCGGATACTGACAACGGACTTTCAGCAGTGGACTTAAAAAGGGCACAAATTTTCCACAAAAACACAAAAGAAATCATATCTGTATTTGTCTCACATGGAGCAGTGAAGAGAGGGACGAACATCTGGATGGTTGTGATTAGGCCACAGGGGCAAAGCACTCACTTATGCCAGCGCCTGATCGTTCTCCGTCCCTCTCGCTTAAATATACACCAACTAACCCAGGGAAAACAATAGATTAGTTAGTTACATTCCGATATCCTAATGTAACATTACCTGTTCCAATTATACTGATGATCCTAGAATCTGATGACAGCTGTTTTTTGCTGACATGGAGTTCTTGTTTGATGTCGGATATGATTAAAGTTTAGAGCTGGAATAAATGACAAATTGTAAACAACTTGGTTCTCACTGCCCTCCCCAATATAAATATCGTATCAATCGAATCACCAAATTTACATGGTTTTTCTATGGGGGACCATCTATAGGAGTTCTTTCTATAAATACCCATCCCTCAAATGTTAGTATATATCAGGCTATACCCTGGGCGTTGTCTGTAAACCATACTAAGAAAAGGTTTCTTGCTTGCTCCATCATGTTCAATAAGTTCACAAGCAACAACATCTACATGCCTCTCTCTACCCTCTGACCTGTGCTCCCCTTTTCTTCACTCACATAACATATACATGAACCAACTGGCCCAAAACCCCTCAAACCCTTGGATTTGGCAGCCAACCATGAACGCTCACAACCCCCATTACTCCCAAATGCATCGGCAACAACAAGAAGGAACATACATCAAAGAGCCCATGTTCGAAAAGCCATTAACACCGAGCGACGTCGGAAAGCTCAACAGGCTAGTGATACCAAAGCAGCATGCAGAGAAGTACTTTCCTTTGGACGGTGAATCGGGAGAGAAGGGATCGCTGCTTAGCTTTGAGGATGAATTGGGAAAGCAATGGGAGTTCAGGTATTCTTATTGGACCAGTAGCCAGAGCTACGTGCTTACTAAAGGATGGAGCAAGTTCGTGAAGGACAAGAAGCTTGATGCTGGTGATGTGGTGATTTTTCAAAGGTTTAGAGGTCATGGGACCGACGAGAGATTTTATATCGATTCTAGGAGACGAGGTTCTATTGAAGCGAACAGCCGCGTTGTGGCGAGGCCTGATGCTGAAAATCCATGGAGCTCTTGTGCGAGTCCTCACGGCTACATGAACTCAGTCAATTCAGGTAACAATTGGTGATTGTTGATGCTAGGGCAAATTACATACAACTCCGTCGTGCATATCTTCAGTTGCATCTACCATGCCTTCACTATCTATTAACTATCATCCTTCAATTCGTGAGGGAGGGATGATATCAGCAATTTATATATCCTTCTCAAGATATGGACTCAGGTACGGTAAGTGCTGATAAATGAGTTGAGAGAGAGAGTGTGTGTGCTACTGAAGGTATAATATAGATAAAAGGAGTTATTTTAAATCAGTTGCCTCTCAGTTCGTGAGGAATTAAAGCGGGGTTATCAGCAAAATTTATTTTTCTCAAAATGCCAACCCAGGTGATACGCTAAAATAGATAAGAGGGATTATCTCCCGTTTATTAGTATTTGTCGCTACCAAATTGGTGTTGGAAAATTAAGGAGGTGATCTGCAATTTATCTTTCTCACAACGTCGCCACCAAATTGGAGTTATACCATCTTTACTCCTAGTGTTAATATACAATCTGAAGAGAATGCAAATGAGAGTGTAACTAAAATTTAAGAGTGAATGCATGCAGGACAGCAGGCCAGTAGCTCGACGAGAGGGAGTTCGAGGAGGCTGAGGCTGTTCGGGGTGAACTTAGAGTGCGGGCCTGATCCTGCAGAACCTGAGCATTTGGCGTCAGGCTCGTGGAATTAAGTTCAGGCGCACCGATATATGCCCTCAACCTATTACTTCCAGTTCACAGTGTAAGCAAAATGTTCGTCCTAAATACGAGATCAATTCTGAAGAAGAATTAAACCATTCTTTGCTGAGAAGAAAAGGTATCGATGCTACAGGAAAGCCAAGTGGGCAATGAAGGAGGAGGGGTATGGAGATATGAGGTCTTGTTCTCAAAATCTCACCAACCAATCAAATCTCTTTTAAGTGCTCAACCCAAATGACATTTTGATAGGCTAATTTGTAAAATGAATGAGAGAGAGGGTGGAGAAAATTCCTGATTTTGAGGGCTCTCTCTCTCTTTCTTTTTCTCTCAATCTCCTTTCATTCGGAAGAAAATGAAACCTGTCGTACGGCTCTGGAGTCTGATATAGCATCAGAGTGAGGTCTCAGAAAACATCAGGTTGATTGAAAAGAGTAGATGGGACCCAGAAACTTACTAGGTCCCATAAACTCCTCTGCCTCCTTGCTAATGTATGTAATATTTTGATGCGATGCCATATATAGACTAGAAAGTAATTTTCTCTTCTTATCCTCTCTCTCTGTCTCTCTCTCTCTCTCTCTTATCACTCACATATGAGACTACCAGTAGATAGTGCAAGTAAAATGTGTGATGAGGATGCTATTGCAATGCGGTGAAACGAAGGACGAGACATATGAGATTTATGTGTCCAATGCCTTCATGGTTACGATTCTCATGAGGATTTTTATGCCATATATATGCCTTTATGCGTAACATACCCCACGAAGATTAAATGTCATAATATTGCCTTTATGGGTACATGTGTCCACAGTTGTGGTTGGTCTGCTTTCATTTTGTGCTTGTGACAAGATTGCGGTCTGCCTCTAATTGGCAAGTGGTCACATATCAAGTGGTTCAAAGATAATTGAAGCCAAAGCTTATTCATTTTCTGATAGCCATTCAGACTAAAATTTTGATAAAAGATAATTGAAGCCAAAGCTTATACATAAACTACATTTAAAATTCATTTTTGTTGCAGTCAACTACATTCCAATCAAATTTTTGCTTAAAATCCGTAACTACCCTTAAAAAAACTCAGATTTAAGGCACATGACTCTTTATTTTAGTGTTTCTGTCTTGTTAGGATAAAGTTACATACTTTGAACTTGAATTTTCTAAGTTTATTTTTTGGTTTTTTAAGTGATAATTTAACTTGGAAATGGTTGATAGAAACAAAACCCCACTTTAAATGTGGTTTATGTATAAATTAAAATTCAAAGATGGTTTTCGTATAATTATCCTATTTTTAAGGTGATTTGTTGTGTGTGTTTGTGTGGGGGTGGGGGGGTGGGGGCTTGAAGATCACTAGCAAATGGTGCACAGAAGCTTCCGCCATGAAACTATATACTCCAGAGACAACATTTCCAACCAATGAAAACTTAATTTGGGATGCATTTCACAGGTAAGATGCTTTCAAGTTATTATTTAGATCATAAAAATTGGTTCTAGAAGAAGATACAACAAGAACCCCACAGCAGAAAAAAATGTGATGGCGATGAGCTTCATGTGAATGCAATTTACTGCAACGGTGTCGAGGAGATCAAAACTGAAGAATGATTAAATGAACCTTATCATGGAAAGATGCCTTGTCCGCTAATAGAAATAGTGAAGCATGTGCAGGGGGGCTCACCTTTTGTACTGATGTTGATACTTAAAAAAGCTACCTTAAATCTCTCTAGCAATTAACAATGGCACCTTGATATAATTGATTAGAGATAAACCAAAAAAAATGCAGTCAATTAAATTAAAAAGCTACCTTAAATCTCTCTAGCAATTAACAATGGCACCTTGATATAATTGATTAGAGATAAACAAAAAAAAAATGCAGAAAAATGCAGTCAGTTATACTATCTGTAAGCAAAAGAATTGTGTCTCAAATTATCAAAATTCTCTCTTGATGGACAATATAATCATCATTATTGAACTCATGTCCATAAATCTGGATTTAGCACACAAATTTAAATTTGACGTTTGATAGAAACTTGACGATGAAATAGAAAGGCAGATTAACCGGTGTTCACCGTTAATAACTCCTCTTCATCCTTGTGTAATGCAACAAAGAAGGAATCCGATAAAGAGTCTCTCACTCCATGTGTGTGTGTGTCTCTCTCTCTCTCTCTCTCTTTTAACTAGTCTTCTCTCTCATTCTCGGTCTCTTTCGATGAGACTACCAGTAGGCAATGGCGTTAAGAAGAGCTCAATGTGTGATGGGGGTGCAATTGCAATTTATGAAACAATGATAGATGAGACATATGAGGATTTATATGTCATATGCCTTTATGGCTACACATCTCTTACATTTGTGACTGGTCTACTTCCTCTTTGTGCTTGTCAAAGATCAGGTCTGTCTCTATTCGGCAAATAGTCAAACATCAAGTGGTTTAGAAACAGTTGTAATCAAGCTATCCACTTCTGATGGTCATTTTGGACCTTAATGCAGAGTAATAAGTTAAATAAAAAATCACCGTTAGGGATTACCTATGCTAATTGGTCACACCACACATTTTGCAGTAGATGTACGACGAAATAAATTATTGAACATGAGTAAACACAAAAAAAATCAAACCAGTCAGATACAAGATTTAACGAGGTTCACCTCAAATCTTGGCTGTGTCCTCAGCAATGGAGCATTTGCAGTAATCCCGTAGATCTTCGTCAAATCTTTACAATCTTTATCCCTCCCACAGCTTGTTTTTTCTCTCAAGAAATTACTAGGAAATTTCTTTCACGTCTCGCTTTTAAGGCACATCATCTTTCTCTTCTTGCCTCTTCAGAAAAACCAAAAATATATAATAGGGTTAACTTCATGACTCGAATACAGATTTACTATAATACCCCTGCACTATATGAAGAAAAGAATAAATAAATTGTCTCAAGGCTCTATATGAAATTCTCTCATATTGCAAACATTTGGAACTTGTGACTGAGGGATCTCCACATAACAACAATCCACAAAGACTAAGATTTTACAAGGTGAAGTTTTCTAGCTTGTAAAACTCAATTATCAACTGCATAAAAACTTCTACAATGAAATAGTTACTGTGTTGTGTATCATTCTTGTGAAGTCACTTTTGTATTGGTTTATTGGCATCCACACCGCTTATCCACACTTTAGTTGGTGTTGAACCAGTGTATGGGTACCAGTGCCTGCACAATTAAATCCAAATGGGAACTGACACTGAGCTCTTTACAGAAAATCGTATAGGGAGAAAGAGGTCGGGACACATGACCCACTTTTGACGCCAAATTAGTGCAATGAATATACAATATTGTACAAGTGCAATCAGAATATTATATCAATTCAACCGCCAACTTTAAAATTTGTGTCAAGACACTTGTCGTGATATACTCCTTCTGTGTATAATTTTCCATGAAGGGCGTGCTATAGGATTCCCCCCCACTCTTTACTACAAACTCCCTACTAATGAAAAATGAAATACACCATGAGAAAATGCCAACAATTTTCAAAAGTTGCTTGCTAGGACTACTTATTAGTAAAAATCTGTGAAGTCATAATTCATATGTGAGAAGATTACATCTCTCTAGGACCTAAATCAGAGGCATTATAACCCTAAGGGTGCATATCAATGCCTTGAAAATGTCAGATACAAACCAAAGAGAAGATGCTTTCAAGGTTATTATTGAGTTCATAACAATTGATTCTAAAAGAAGCTATAATAAAAATCAAAAGCAACCTCATACAACAAAAGTGATGGTGAAAAGATTCACTAATTTACTGCAACAGTCCAAGATTGTCAAATGCTGAAGGGTGATTATTGAACCATAACTGGAAAGATATTCTGTCTCCTAATTAAAAAGACCTAAGTATGTGAACGATACTCGTTACCAGAATCCTCTCTCAGCAATTAACAATGGCTGTTTTGCTCTCAAAAATTAGCAATTACAGTTTGATATAATTTATTAGAGATGAGCAAACAAAATCAATGTCAGATCGTGCTTATGTTTGTTGACTTGAATCAATGTCACTGTCCAACAAATATATTGATCTTCAGGAAGTGGTCAGAGGATGGTACTACCTATAGACAAAAGCATGGTGGAAGAAGATAATCATCATTATGGAACTCATTTTCATAAAAATGGGTGAGGTTTAGCACACAATTCTGGAATCTAGGTTCACTAGAAATTTAAATAAAAGCAAACTAAAAAGAATAGTGAACCAAGGAAACCAGTGTATAGGTTCTTCCATTCAGCATCTCATACTGTTAAACGTATGTATCGACCTCAGAAGATCAAAGGACGGACCAAGGCATCGATATAGAGGGATGATAAAATGGATCAAACATGTTGGAAGATTCTAAACTATTTGGGTTTTAGTACTCCTACACACTGTGTGCTCTGATTTTGTGAAAAAGCATTTTGAATGATCAATTATCTTTTGTGGGTAGTCATGTACTTTTTCTTTTGTTGGCATGCCCTTTTCTTATCTTTTCCCCCCTTCTTGCTTTGGCATATTTTGGTTGTTCCTTGGTATGTTTCGCTAAGTTCCTTCTAAGGAAACAACAGGGTTTCTGTGGACTCATCATATTTTCTCAACAAATAATAATAATAATAAATGAAGGCTCAAATAAAAAAGTAAACCAAAATGGTGCACATGAGAAGGTATCAACTAGTTATGAAAGTTTAAAAAACTGTGCCAAGTTCTTAAGGAAGAGAACTCCAGTAACAAAGGAGGATTGCCATAAGAGCCTTAAGGCAGATGAGCATCAAGGAGAAGATCCACATAACCAATTCCTTGCAATGTCGTAGCACACACGTCTCCAAAATTTTCCTCAAAAGAGAATGACTAGGTCTAATTTTGGGGAATTTCTTTTGTTTAAGTCACAACACATGCAAAAGAGCCAAGATGAAAATGATTCCTCTGTGACCATCTGTTGGTTCATCAAATATGAAAAATTTGAAGAGGAAAACCATAAGACATGAAGAGGAGAAGAAGATAAGGGGAATATGGAAAAACAAATTAGGTAGCAATGACTAAAGATCACCAATAAAAAATAATTGAGATGCCAATAATGCCTTTCAGAAGCCAAGAAACTTGCATACTTTTTAGCTCAGGCGACGGTAGAGTCATGTTCCCTTATTCTGAATCACGGGAGCTCCATACTTTTCTTCTCTACTCGTCACTTGTATGCTTTTAAGTGAATTACAATGAAAATAGATGATCACTTTATGAACTCCACTATATGAGATTGACTGCCAGAGAGATACAACAGCAAAAACAAAGACTTAATCCCAAATTTTTGGGCGTTCATTTCTGTTATGAGTTCTCTCCTCCATCAAGTTTACAATTATCATATCCTTCTTAATTATTTCTAAGTAATTTTAGGTCTATCACTAGTCATCTTTGCTCCATTAACTATAATCTTATCAGTTCTTACTAACTGGTGCATGTTGGGACAAACCCGGGCCCAATAGAGCAAGGTCGCAACAATAGTAGAGCAAAAGTAGAGATAAAATGATAAGACACACAGATTTACGTGGTTCGACACTTGATTATCTACGTCCACGAGCAATGATAGAAGAATTTACTATGAGAAGAAAACTCTGGAGTTACAATCTCCCTTAACAAGGAGATACCCTCTCTCTATTTTTTTCCCTCTCACTCTTCTACAAGAGAAGTTGTTTCTGAGATGAGTTTTTCCGTAAAAGTTTAGGACCTATTTATAGTGTTTGAAAAAACACTATGCATAATAAAATAATAATATGTTTACTGTACAGCTTTAACAATTTTAAACACTGCCAAACTTTTGTTGAATAAAATATTGTGGGGCCCATTCTTTTGATTTTTTCGGCACCATCTTCTTTTATTTTCAAAGAAGGTTGCTGACAATCTCCCACTTGAAGATTTGATTGAGCATCAATCATATTTTCACACTATTCTTTCTATCTTACCATCTTCATATTACTCATGTCTCAGACAGACCACAGCAGGATCGACACCAAATAAATTTGTCAGTACTGTTTTTGTCAAAAAATCCGCTAGGTTATCTTTGGTGTGAATTTTCTGCATATCCATTGTTCCCTTTTCCACTTTCTCACGAACAAAGTGATATTGAACTCGAATGTGTTTGGTCTTTGAATGAAAGGCTGAATTTCTTGCCAAATGCAAAGCACTCTGACTGTCACAAAATAAAGATATTTTCTTTTGTTCATAGCCGAGTTCCTCCAGCACCATCTTCAACCACATCGCTTCTTTACAGGCTTGTGTAGCTGCTACATATTCTGCTTCTGTTATTGAAGTAGTCACAACTGACTACAGTTTTGAAACCCAGCTTACAGCTCCGCCAGCAAGTACAAACACATAACCTGTGATAGATTTGTTATTATCACGATCACCTACATAATCAGAATCAACATATCCACTAACAATAAATTCAGATCCCCCATAACATAATGTAACATTTGAGGTTCATTGAATGTATCTTAGAAACTTCTTTACATCATTCCAATGTTCTTTACCAGGATTCGACATGTATCGACTAACCACTCCCACTGCTTGTGCAATGTCTGGTCTTGTACATATCATCGCGAACATTAAGCTTCCCACTGCTGATGCATACGGTACTCGAGACATCTTCATCCTCTCTTCTTCACTGTTAGGACTCATACTGAAGGATAACTTAAAATTAACAGGAAATGGAGTAGAAATTGATTTACAATCTTACATGTTAAAGCGCCGTAAGATTTTGTTCAAGTAATTCTTCTGAGAAAGCCAAATCTTCCTATTAATTCTGTCTTGGTAAATTTGCATCCCTAGAATCTTGTTTACAGATCCTAATCCTTCATTTCAAATTCCCTAGCCAACTGAGCATTTAATTCTTTGATACGGTCTTTGTTGGGGCCTGCAACCAACATGTCGTCAACATACAACAATAAGATAACAAAGTTATTTTCACCAAACCTCTTGAAATATGCACAAGGGTGTGAATTAAGTCTGTTGTATCCAAGGCTCATGATGAATGAATCAAATCTCTTATACCAACACCTCGACGCCTATTTTAGACCGTACAGAGATTTGTTCAATCTGCAAACCAAGTTTTCTTTTTCTTTTTCTTCAAAACCTTCTGGTTGGAGCATGTAAATTTCTTTTTCAAGGTCTCCATAAAGAAATGTTGTTTTCACATCTAGCTGCTCTAGATGTAAGTCAAATATAGCGCTCATAGTCAGGATTATTCAGACTGTTGTAAGTCAAACTACAGGAAAAATATTTTATTAAAGTCAATACATTCTTTTTGAGCATATCCTTTTACCACCAATCTAGCACGATATCGCTCCACTTGATCATCGCCATTTCGCTTGATCTTGTACACCCATTTATTTTCAATGATCTTTCTTCCTTGTAGTTGTGACACAAGTACCCAAGTCTTATTCTTATAGAGAGATTCAATTTCTTCCTGCATTGCTGCCATCCATAAAGATGCATCTGTGCCATTTATAGCTTCATAAAAAGTTGATGGCTCTCCATCTTCTGTTAGAAGACAGAAAGATGCATCTGTGCCATTTATAGCTTCATAAAAAGTTGATGGCTCTCCATCTTCTGTTAGAAGACAGTATGCAACATTACTCTCCGTAATATACTCCGAGTGTCAAGTCGGTGGCCTTCTCTCATGAGTTGATCTTCGAATTTCTGAAGCCTCGGACTCGACTGATTCTTGTACATCATGCTCTGGTGTTGCTTCAGAAGAATTCAGATTATCTTCTACCTGAACAGCTATAGTATCTGAGTCCTTCCTCGAATTGTTTTCTTTTTCTTCACTTTGTAGTTGATTCTCTACAAAGATAACATCTCTGCTGATGATCACCTTACGGGCAGTGGGATCCCACAGGCGATACCCCTTTACTCCATCAGCATATCCCAAGAATATGTATTTTCTAGATTTTGAATCCAACTTTGTAATTTCTTGGGCATTGTACATGGCGTACACTGAACTTCCAAATATATAGAGATTAGAATAATCAGCTGGCTTACCAGTCCACATCTCTATCGGCGTCTTCAATTGTATTACAGTTGATGGAGATCGATTTACCACATAACAGGCGGTTTTTACTGCTTCCGTCCAAAAAACCTTATCTAGATTTGCAGTTACCAACATAGCTCTTGTTCTTTCTAACAGAGTTCTGTTTATCCGCACCGCCACTCCATTTTATTGAGGAGTATAACTGAATTATCTTTTGATGCCTTCTTGCTTGCAGAATGCTAGGAATTCACCGTCTGTATATTCTCCTCCATTATCTGACCTCAAACACTTGATCTTCTTCTCAGATTCAAGCTCGACCTGCGCTTTGTAGGTTTTAAAGACTGAGAACATATCTGCCTTCTTCTTGATAGGATCACCCAACATCTCCTGGAGTAATCATCAATAAAAGACACAAAATATTTTGCTCCTCCCAATGCTGTAACTGGTGCTTACCATACATCAGAATGAACCAGTTCCAGAATAGCCTTAATTCTAGAACTCGATGTGTTGAACTTCAGCCGATGCTGCTTACTTGTAACACAATGCTCGCAGAATGAAAGAGATACTGAATTAATTCCAGGAAGTAGCTTCTGATCGGAGAGAATCTTCAAGCCTCATTCTGACATGTGACCTAGTTTGCGATGTCATATCATGATTTGTTCTTCTCCAGGGCTGGTTGATATCACACATGAATCAACATCCTGCAGGGTTTCTCCCGTGAGCATGTATAGATTTACAGCTATCTTCTCTCCTTTTATTACCACAACCGCCCCTCTAACAATCTTCATGATCCCATTTTTGATATAGGTCTTGCACCCGAGCTCATCTAATTGTCCCAAAGACAATAGATTCTTCTTCAAGCCCTTCATATGTCGCACATCTTGAATGGTGCGTATTGTACCATCAAATATTTTGATTTTGATAGTGCCAATACCATAAATCTCCAAGGCATGATCATTCCCCATGAATACAGATCCTCCTGAGATAGGTTCATATTTAGGAAACCATTCTCTCTGAGAAGTCATGTGTCAGAAGGCTGCTGAATCTAGAAGTTAGACATCAGCAAACATCTTTCTGCCTTTATCAACAGTGGTTACTCCACTGAATAGAATTTTACCATCGTTTGATGTGTTGATAACGCATCCTTAAGATGTTGATAGCTCTGAAGACTTTTTATCTTCACTCTTCTTATTGTGCTAACACTCCGATTTGATGTGCCCTCTTTTGTCACAGTTGTAACATTTGATATTCTTCTTACTTCTTGATTTTGATCTACCATGGGTAATGATTTCCACTAGAGCCACGTTCCGTTGATCTTCCTCTCGTCATCGATTAGGCATCCGCTTGTTACGAACTTGCCTGCTTGTCTTCCTTGTTCTTGCGCTGATTTTCTTCCTCCAGAACAGCCTTCTTTGAAAATGAAAGAAGACGGTACCGAAAAAATCAAAAGAATGAGCCCCACAACATTTTATTCAACGAAAGTTTGACAGTGTTTAGAATTGTTAAAGTTGCACAGTAAACATATTATTATTTTATTGTGCATAGTATTTTTCCAAACACTATAAATAGGTCCTAAACTCTTAAGAAAAAACTCATCCCAGAAACAACTTCTCTTGTAGAAGAGTGAGAGAGAAAAAAATAGAGAGAGTATCTCCTTGTTAAGAGAGATTGTAACTCTAGAGTTTTCTCCTCATAGTAAATTCTTTTATTCTTGCCCGTGGACGTAGGTAATCAAGTACCGAACCACGTAAATCTGTGTATCTATCATTTTATCTCTACTTTTACTCTACTATTGCTGCGATCTTGCTCTATTAGGCCCCGGGTTTGTCCCAACAAGTAGTATCACAGCCAACTTAGGGTGCTTGTATATATCTATTTATCGTATGCTCTGTGGCTGCCACCAAAGGTGAATCCTCCATATCAAAAAATAAATTAGGTTATCATTTACCCTTTAAAAGTAATGGATACTATTCATGAGTACGGTACTGGTCATAAATACGATACTATTCACAAGTACGATACTATTTATAGATACGATTACTGTTTATAAATACAGTTACTATTTACGTGAGATAGTAAGAAGTTACTGTTCGTGGTAGAAGCAATGACGGCAAAGTTTAAGATCGAGAAATTCGACGGGAGTAATTTCTCACTGTGAAAGTTGAAGATAAAGGCGATTTTAAGAAAAGAAAATTGTATGGCGGTCATCGGTACAAGGTCGGATGACATCACAGATGATAAGAAGTGGAACGAGATGGACGAAAATGCTATTACGAATCTCCATCTGGCATTAGCAGACGGGGTGTTGTCAAGCATAGAGGAGAAGAAGACAGCAAAGGAGATCTGGAATACTCTAACAAAGCTATATGAGGCAAAATCCATGCACAACAAAATTTTCTTAAAAATGAGACTTTACACTCTGAGGATGGCGGAATCTATATCGATGACCGACCACATCCACACCCTAAACACACTGTTCTCCCAACTCACAACATTGGGGCATGCAATCGGTGCGAATGAACGTGCAAAACTTCTATTTTAGAGTCTACCTGACTCATATGATCAACTCATTATCAACCTGACAGTGCATCTACTGGCCTGCGTTAGATATGGCCAAGCCATCTCAATCATTTCTCTCATTTCATCCTCAATAGAAGAAGTCTCTGATGTCCACCAAACGCACTCATCTTGTGTCATATCTTTTAGAGTATATCCCCAAGATCATCATAACGTTCTTATTTCTGCTACACCCATTTTTGTCCATGTTTTTCAATTGTCTAATGCTTTGATCCCTAAAGCATCATTGGTCTTATAACTGTCCTATGAACTTTTCCTCTCAAACTCATAGATAGTTGATCACACTAGACTCCAGAGAAAGATATATAAGGATTTCCCTTATGCCTTTATATAAGAATGGAAATTTATCATGAAACAGCTAGCGGGATAAGGTATTAGGTACATATTTGTAATAGGGGGATTAAACCTTGGATTTACTGATTCTGACATGATTCCTTCAGGTTTTCAGCTTGCAGATTGCCTTACGAGATAAATGTAAAATTTGGAGATTTAACTTTCTTACTTTCTCTAGTTGTTTCCCAGTATATGAAAATTTGGAGGCTCGATCTTGTTAGTATGCTTAACCAACATGGTGAAAATGGCAGTTTACCTATAGTTATCTGCTATGGGCATTTGATGATATGACCCTCTCGTGATCATAGTTGACTTCGCTAAAATCTGGCACCAACTCAATAGGTTCCACGCCAAGATGATTTTTGGTTGTAAAACTTAATCCACTCTTCAAAGCTCTCATCTTTCATGCCTTCCTGCACAACAGAACAAAATTTGAAGGGAAATACTTGCACTGTAATAATGATGACAATGACAACAAGGAGTACCATGTTGTATTCTTGCTAAATCTTAAGAATTCCCGTTTCTTCCTTGGATTAGGAGTAACTGGATCATCTCTGTGTCCAATTAATTTCTAATATCAAAGAATCATTTTTTGGGTATTAGATACAACCTAAATAATCCTGCCGAACAGAAACAGCCATAGTAACACCAAGTAGCAATAAAAGCAATAAATAACCAAGAAAGTCATGGTTATTATCAAATTGTTTGCTTGGCCTCCATGGTACAACTTCCTCGTGCAATAGAGTGGGAGTGTGTAGTATTTTTGTATAAGAATAATAAGCCTAGACTGTCATGTTATCGATAAAGTACAACCTGGTAAAATAACATATATAGGGAAGAAAAGTACCAAGTTGCTGTTAAATAAACCAGTAAAAGTTAGATTAGCGCAAAAGACATACCAGTCAGCCTCCAGCAGTTGTTGGAAAATCAGATATCCGATGACCTCTAAAGGCCAACCTCTAATTACATTAACTGCAACAAAGACATGTGAAGTTTCTGATCACCAATATGAGCAGAAGCAAGCCCGATCTCTAATTCCATCATCTTGGTAAAAGTTATTTGTACCTGCTTCCATGAAATCATGCATAGCATTTGAAGTGATAAATTTTCACCAAAGATGTGAAATAGATATAATGAACATTGTACATTAGGAAATGTGAAGACCTTCAAACTGGAATGGGGCAATTCAGTGTTTTATAGAACCATGAGCTCAAAAATACTTTGTTCACCAGAAATCACGACACGAACAGAAACCGTCCTTAAAATGGTGGAAACGTTTAGTATCTCTAACGATAATCTCCCTGGCCATTATTCTTGACGCGGACTTTATAAAGGAATGGCAATCCCCACAGATACGAAGGTTCTTATTTATCCTGATAGGAACTTCAGAAGGCAAGCTAATAAGACCAAAAGCAAGAGCCAATTTTTCACTATGGTACTTTAAAAGCTCCTCTTTCTGCTCTTCCTCTACATTATGAAGATCATATTGAGTTTCAGACTTATAATCCAACTTCTTCATCTCATTCCCCAACTCCTCCAATTTATCATATATCTCATTGATCTTCATGTGGCTCCTATCTCCAACAACAAAAACATGAACCTTATTCTTCACCTCAACCCAACTCTTACCAATTTCCTTCTTGGCGCCACTATCTTTCAGAAGCTTCCTCGTATTTGCAACTTCTTGCCATTTCTTATTTGTTGCATACACATTCGAAAGCAAAACATGGCTTCCTGCATTATTTGGTTCAATCTCAAACAACTGCTCAGCTGAAAGTTTAGCAAGCTCATAGTTGCCATAAGTCCTGCATGAGCCAAGCAAAGAACCCCAAATCGAAGCATGTGGCTTCAATGGCATTGTCTTGATCAAATTCCAAGCTTCATTCACAAGTCCAGCCCTACCAAGAACATCAACCATGCATGAATAGTGTATAACATTGGGCTCCACATTAACATCATCCATCATCAGATCAAAATAAACCCGGCCCTTATCTACTAAACCGGCATGGCTACATGCAGACAATATAGAGGCATAAGTAACTTCATTTGGTGACATGCCCATTTGTTTCATCTTCTCAAAAAACACCATGGCCTCTAGTAAGCAAGCATGCTTTGAGAATCCAGCCAATATAGCATTCCACAAAACAATATTCTTATCTTCAACATCTGAAAACACAATGTAAGCTTCTTTTATGCGTCCACATTTCGAATACATATCAATTAGAGAAGATGCCACATAAAGATTCGAACCAAAACCCACTCTTAATAAAAGAGAATGCAATTGTACTCCTTCAATTGCTGCTGAGATGCTTGCACATGCGCAGAGAACAGCAGAAAGTGTGAATTGTGTCAATTGCACTCCTACTCTCTGAGCCCTTCGAAACAAAAAGAGAGCCTCCTCATGGAGATCATTCTGCACAGACCCAGAAACCATCGAGCTCCAAGTAACCGAAGATCTCTTGGGCATTTCCTCAAAAACCAAGAATGCATCATCAATCAAACAGCATTTAGAATAAACATCAAGAATTGCAGTTCCTACATAAACATTAGCATCCACCGCATTCTTAATAGCCAAAGCATGCAACTGTTTGCTCTCTAGAATTGCACACTTTGATGCACAAGCACAGAGGACACTTGATATAGTGAATTCAGTAACCGAAACTCCTTCGTGATGCATTAGAACAAAAAGGTTGAGCGCCTCTGGTTCATTCCCAAAATGGGTATATCCAGAAATCATAGTATTCCATGAAACTACATTTCTTTCAAGCATGTTATCAAACACTTGGCGAGCGAAATCAATATAGCCGCATTTAGAGTATAAATTGATGAGGAGATTAGAGGTTAGAGTATGAGTGTGAAGACCAGACTGGAAAACTAACCCATGACAAAGTTTTCCAATTTCAATAGATCTTTCTCGTGCGCATGTTTGCAGGAGATAATGTAAGTTTAATGCATTTAAACCATCAGCCTCGAATAAGGCGTTAAGATTATGAGTTGAATATCTAGAGAATTTTGAATAATTTGCATGAAATTTGAATACAAAATGACCCAAATAAGAAATCTTTGATCTAACATAAGAATTCATAAAGAGCAAGAGAAGCTAGTGGATAGATGACGCAGAGTTTACGCAATGCGCAATAAGAACCGAAATCATATCATGATATAAACATTAATCAATCTTCAACTGAGCCATATTCCAACTGCTATTGTTTGTGAACATGTCGTAAGAATTTGATAGAACTAAATACGTAATATTATCGAACTCAACGTTAAGTAGGGATTTTGATTTGGGATTTGGAGGCAAATACCTGAATTAGGGAAGAATAAGAATTTAGAGCTTAACGATTTAAAAGATACGGCCCAATTTTCTAATGGCAATAGCCCAATATATAAGAAACTGCCACGCGTTGCCAAATATCGGCCCAATACCGCATTAAGAAATAAATTTTGCTTTAAATATCATAGTCCAAGCCCAAGTAATAAAAACCCATAACCACCATGAATACCCGCCCACCCCGCTACCCTCCCCATCCAAACCAACCAAGGAAAGCCCCCCACCAACACGGCAAACAAAACCGACCACCACAACACCCACAAGACCCCTCAATCTTCGCAGACACCGAAAAAAAAATGATAAACAACATTAATCCTAATTTTCACATGGGTGGTTTTTTCTAAAAAAGAAAAATTTCACACAGATGGGTAAAAATTACACTAGAATGTTTTTTTTTACCGTGGAGATTTTGGTTCACACTTTTAGGGGTTTTCCGATAAAATTTTAAAGTTAAGGGTGTTTTTTTAATAACCCCTAAACTTAAGGAGGTTTTCTGATATTTTGAAAGTTATGTGAGGTTATCTGATAATCAAACAAAGTTGAGGTGGATTTTTTTTGATATCAAGTCTTTTCAGTGTATAATTTCACAAAATCTCTAAATAAGTGTGGCTCATTTTAAGTTAACCCTTAAAAACCCTAGAAACGCCACTTAATTCCCCATAACTTCATATTTTATTTATTTATTTTTGATAACCTTCAATTTTTTCTGTTGTGTGAAAAAAGCTTTGGGAGTTAAATGGCATTTAAACTTTTTGGATTGTCTCAAAACAGGCCAAATTTTTGAGGCTTTTGCAAAATCTAACTTTTTTCTAGAGTTTGTTGAATTGAAAACAATGCTTCAAAATTCAATCTAAAGCGGCAACCACAGAAGCGAGCAGTGCTATCATTCTATCAACATTCTAGAATTTTTATTGTTACTATTTACTAAGCTACATCAATTGCAGACTAACAACACATTTTAGTGGAGACTTCAATTCTCTCCTGACATGTTCGAACTTCACATTGGAGTTTATTTATACCACATGTTTATATAAAAAAAAAACGAGTCTTCGAGAGTTAAATGGGTCTTGAACGCATATTAAAAACCAATTTAACTCAAAAGTGTTAAGCATCAGAATTTTGCTCCTTGATTTGAATTCCCATTAACAGAGATTTTAAATACTATTATTATTATTATTATTTTCTCTAAACAGAGATTGGAACCACACTAATTAATGTATACCTTCTTTGATTTCTTTAAGGTCGAACTAAATCAACACATGAAATCCCTTCATGCGTGTGAAAGGTTAAAGCACATGAGAAAAGAAAAGGAAATGGATATGATGTCACCCCATCTAGCTAATTCCCTTGTTCTGCCACCCATTGGATGCCACAAATCGATTGAGAAAAAACTTTGTCATTATCCATAAATAAAACTACCAACTAGATTACGTGTAATAATATCTTAATTATATTATTAGACGTAGATATAATGCTTAATGACTTGAAGTACATAATCCCTGAAAATGCAAAGTGGGAGAATTATGGGATGACGGGTTTTGTGATGTATGCCATTTGACCTTCCTAGTGAGAGATTGTACCCTACAAATAATTTCCTTAGACCATTCGTTACAACTTTGAGGAATCTTGTAACTTAATGTATCTTTCTCTTTATCTTGATTCTTAAGTGCATAGTACGTGAGCAACTAAAGTGCCTTTAGTTGAATCCGCAAGCATTATTGAATTATTGTAATTTAAGGTAAGTTAATTGAACGTAAGATTTCCTTATTTGGGTCAATCCATTATCTAAGGGTTATTCGTTGAGGATTGTTGATTCAGACTCAAATTTTGACGCAGCACGGAAGTTGTAGCATCGGAATCCACCAAGGACAATCTTCGAATCCACGAAGTAAATATTGAAGAAAAACAAAATTTTATTAATCAAAAGTTATGCCTCTAAGGCTTACAAGACTCTTCTTAAAAAAAAACAAGACTCCTACAATGACTCAAACTCTACCAAAAATAGTAAAAGAATTCCTAAAATATTAAAACTCCTAAAAAGACTCCTTATTACTAGGAAAGTCGACCTGTCAAATCTGAGATCAAATCGGATTTGTTTCCTAAACAAAATAGACTCTTAAAATATTACTAAAAATAGTAAAAACGGATAAAAATGCAAATATCTCATAAACCGTAAGGAATTTGGCGAAATGGAGAACACAAACCGAACCCAAAGGGGCCGGTTTGGATAACTCCGTCTCGTCGAGATAGTCGATTTTCATATATAATTCGTCCAATTCCGACGTACGGTTTGAAAGTTACGGCCGTTACTTTGAAACTAGTTATTTTCTTCAACCAGACCCGCATTTGGCCTTGCGACTGTCCCACTTTGACATAAACGTGTCTGCTGTGTGTTCTACATCAAATTTTTTCTTAGATTTAGGTGTATGTTATTCATTCGGGATTGTTGATTTGGACTTGGATAATTGTTCATGAATCTAACATTCTTGGATGGGTACCTGGACTCGGATTTTATGAGTAGAGCCAGGGCTTTTAGATTTGATTTTGATTTTTTTAAGTAGAATTCTTAAACTGTTAGTTTAGATTCTTAATTTTGTTTTAGAGTCATAAACAGAGGTTAGATTCTGAGTCTAAATTTAGATTCATAGATTAATTGAATTAGGAGTTTCAAAATAAATTATTATGTTAAATAATAATTATTTATAAAAAATGAACATTAATTTGACAAAACCACGCTCATTTTGATTAACAAATGACAACAAAAAGACTGAATGCAACTTGTAATCGATTTAAACAGTTCAGACTGTACCACATAACAAAAAATAACTAGTGTAAGCACATAAATAAAAATAACTAGTGTTCAAGTACATAAAAAAGAAAATAACTAGTGTTCCACCATATAAAACTAATTTGTATATCTAAATATGTAAATATTAAATATATTAGAAACTTTTATATTAAACATTTGACATCAAATATTTGTTTAATGTTAAATGTCTTTATTATTTAATACATTGAAAATTTTAATATTTATGTACTTAATATAGTAAATATTCAATATATATATATATATATATATATATAAGAAATGTTAAATAATAAAACATATCTAATTTAATATTAAACATTAAAAATATCAAGTGATTAAATAAAATAAAATATATTTTATTTTAATTGAATTAAATAAAGAAGAAGTTGATTACAAATATTTTACAATTAAATACATTCAATATATAAATAATTTAGGAATATAGAATATTTTAAAATTAGATATAGTTTAATGAAATATATTAAATATTTAAATTAGTAAAGAGAAGAGAAAAGAGAAACCTAGAGAGTGAGATCATAATCCGCCAATTTTAACTTGGACTTTCTCTAGAAATTTCTCATTAAAAAGTATAGATTTAAAATGGAGTGTGGATTTTAAAATTCTTGTCCAAATAACAATCCTACACAATCAATAACATATAAAGTTCAAATTTAAATCCTAGTCCTAGACAGAAAACATCTTAAATTCAAATATGATTCCTAGTGTTAAACAAGTAACACGTGAAATTTAAATTCAAATTCTAGTCCGAAATGAATAAGACCCTAAATTTAGCTTGAGATCCGACCCTCGGTTTACAAATCCAAAGCAAAAGTTAATGATCTAAATTAAAGTTAAAGAATTCTACTTAAAAATTAAAATTTAATCCAAGAATATGGGGCTCTAACTATACAACTGAGTCAAAGTCTCAATCAAAGAATGTTAGTTTCATGACTATTTGTCTGAGTCCAAATCAACAATCCAAAACGAATAACACCCCCTAGATATGTACAACTAAGTGCAGATATAGGTGGCACAGTTAAATTCCTTTTTAAAAAGGGGTGGATTTTTCCCTTCTTCTTTTACCTTGGTGATGGTCATTTTCTTCATTTTTGAGAAAGTGTGCTGTAGATTTTTCCTCAAATATCTGAATATGACTTAACAAGAATTTGATCATTATTTTAAGCAATCAAATAATATTTGTCTTTTCCTTTCTCTTTTCACAAGTTGCAAACAAGTTGGAGTAGCCTTAGCTCAAAGAAAAACCAAGCACGATCCAATGAGTCCACGGAGCCTTTTTACCTTGGTCCTTGCCCCCATAGCTCTACACTCAATTTAATGAGGCAAAGACCTTGAGAATTTTAATTCCATATATCATGTGGTGCAATTAGAGATATGTGGGCCCACACCCAATCTCCTCCATTCCTGCAGCTTTAGATAGATATAGCTAGCATAAACACATAATGCATGGATACACGTTGGTGTGTGGCAATAAAAGTAGATAAGAGAGAAGATAAAGGAATATATATGGATAATAATTTTGATGGGGAAAAAAAAAATTGTAGGTCCCTTGTTTTATCTTTCCCTGTTCGAGATATGCACTATAAGCTTAGCCATGTTAGTCAAGATTCGAACTATTTTGATAACAAAAGGAATGGATGCGTGATTTCTATGGCAAGGTAATTAATGCTAAATAGTTACAAAGTGCGACCCTTTTGTTTCCTTCCCTCGATTGGTGGGAAAGTTTGAGGGCGTCCTTGTCAATAGAAAAAATCATTACCAAGTCATAATTAAGTAGTTAGCATATTCAATTTGATTGGCATTCAGGATCAAAAATTTTAAAAATCCAAGCACGTAGCCATGTAGAACCGCTTTCCTTGATCGTCCTTGATTAAGACTAAAGACCTACAGTCTGCAGAACCGCTCACAAGATTCTTAGCAAATAATTCTTATCCCGAACTCACTATTGATAAGTTAGATTAATATTATATAATTAGACCAAGCATAGGCTATCTCATGAGCGTCGCTTTTGACTCAGAGCAGAAGATTTGAGTTTTTCCTGAAAGTGTGAAAGAAAGATGGGAAGATTTGGATAACCAACAGTAGATCTGATTCCATGGGTATCAAAAGGAA